ATTCAAACTCCTCAGGTAATTAATTGGAAATGACCCAGTTGCAGTATTGTCAAAGGTCTGACTAACACCCATCAAACCCAGGAAACTCAGACTTCTTGATCACTCCCCAGCTTGCCTTGTGCTGTTGTGTTTAAGGTATTACTGGGGTCTACAAAAAGTGCACGATCATATATACTGTACCATATGTTCACAAATACCAATGCACAACAGCATGAATTAAGGATAGGATTTCAGCCTTCGTAATGAAGAGTCTTGCTTTTATGAGTTCAAGTCAGACCCTTAACATTATTTTAACATAGATTTTGGTGTTTAATTATGTAATAAGATTTACTGCAGTCATCTAACAGATGTTGATTCAGGGTCAGTGTTTCTCATAAATTAGTTCTGAAAGGATTTGTTACTTCTGGGTCAGCAGATAGGTCCAGAGTGCAAAGAAAAAGGGGAAAAACAATAAACACTGAGTTGAAGGGTTTCTTGGGATTCTTTCTTCAGTTACATATCCACATATTTTCATGATCTTAATGACTATAGCCACAGGAATGTTTGCTTTAACACTAAAGATGGCTCAGCCCAAACCCCTGTATCCAAACATCTGCAAAGCATGGGAAAGTTTAAACTTTGGGGCTCTTTATTTTATGACCCTGACCATTAATTTTTCATACTAATATGACACATTTTTCTAGGACTCTGCAGCGGGAACCACTGTGAACTCTGGCAGCATCTAAAAAAGTTTCATCTTCATGTGTTTGTTGTCAGACTTTGTGTATGAAGTGCAGCTAAAGATCGGTGTTGGCCGATGTAGTTGTCATCACATATGTACACTGAAAATGTGCACCCACCTTCCTTTGAAAATTCAGCTTTGCCATGTCTTTGGAAGCAAATCACATTGGTACATCCTACCGCTAGACCTCTCTGTAATACACCCTGCTGGTGATGTTATCCATAATATAACTAAAACCACACAACATTATATTCATTCTTGTATAGTTGTGGTTAAAGGAGCTACTCCTTATTAAAATATTTTTCCTTCCCTCTATAATTTAGGTGCAGACAAATTCCTTTGAGACTGAAATCATACTCTTTATATCTTATTCTGCTGAGAATACTTTGGAGGAAAGGGATTGAGGCACATTTAAAAGTGTTAATAGGTAGCACTTACAGGGCAGCTTTAACCTGCCAAGTATTTTACAAACACTGGTGAACATTCACAATATTCCCCCACTTCAAGGTATGAGAGACAGTGATCATCCTGAGGCTCTATGAGATGTTATAGCTAGAGGTGCAACAACTTTGTTCATTCAGTGCACACTATAACCTATAAAACCATTTGCTGAACTTAATCGCCTTTGTCTTGGAAAGTTTAAGGGTTTCATACCTAAAAAACTCCTCTGAGATGAATCCCAGCTATTAGTAAGAGCTCCGAAGTATTTCCCTGAACAGCAATCACACAGTGGCAAACGGCGAGGCCTGGACTCCTTGCAGAAGTAATGTGCGAGAGGAGGAAGAGCCCGTGGCCAGCTGCTGAATCTTGGCCAGCAAAACAGCGCTGAACCTGCTCCGTGTAAGCACTTGGACACAGCCCGCTTCCCTGAGGCTCTCCACGCTCCGTCCCTGTCACAGGGGAGGCCCTCGCGAGTGCTGAAATATATTTGTACCGTGCAGTGCTGTAAATTTAAATAGCACTTTCCAGACCCAAGTTTGAAACTCCTCTTTTTCAGGAGTAATTCCATTTAAGTCAATGGATTTACACAATGGATTTACCGCTGCCAGAAGAGAATCAGGCCTGTAGAAAGACACACATTCTTTGCCAAGAAAATCTCAGAGCTAACTACTTGAATTGTGCAGTCGAGCTGCAGGGAGGTCAAGTGGACAGACAACGGGACTGGGACATATGGGAAGCCCCTGGTTCAAACCTCAGCTCTTAAAATGTCATGTGGCGTGACCTCTGCCGAGTCAGTTCATCCCCTTATACCTTCGTTTCCCCATTTTCCTTTGTCTGACTTGTATGTTTAATTTGGAATTCGTTCCAAGAAGGGTGCTTCATTTCATGTGTTGGGATGGGGCACTGACACCTCACCTCCCCCTTGCTGGAGGACAGTCTTGAAGTCTTTGTTTCCCCACAACACTGACTCTCAGCTTCAATATCCACAAGCAGTGTTACATGAGACCATCCGCTGTCCATCAGAAGACAGGCAGATCTGTCACTCGACGGGATAATGCACCATCCTAACACTGTCTTGGGAGGACTCTGGCACTTTTTGTTATTTCACGGTCAGGGTTGGGAGGTGAAAGAAGGTCCTCGTTTTGAACGTTCGCTTCACAGCCCCGATCGCTAAAGATTCTTTAAAACGAAAGCTTTGACCCTTTGGAGCGGGGCTGTGAGCTTGTGATGAATTCAGCTGGCACCGAATGTGGGTCACCGGCATGAAAAGCCTCAAGGACTGGAATTTGTGTATATATGTGAACGAGTATGCGTGTACGTGTGTAATTTTCAGAAGCAGAGTCAGGCCAAGAACCAGCACCTCTGAAAAGCCCCATCTGTTTCTTTCAGCTCCTTCCCACAGCAGCTTGGTCGTTATCGCTGGCAAATGTCCAGAGTCACTTGTCAAGCATCAGGCTGCCAAAAATCATTAAAACGCAATGGTCACCCACACCCTGTACCAGCCAGCTGTAAAACTGTTCCAAAGAGGGTCTGATAAACACATATATATGCTTATAATAGCCCAGAAAGAGTCATGTATTTCCTACGTGCTTTAATGAACCGAACAACAGCATGAGATGCTGTGATCAGATATTCTTGCCCTTTTCTGTTGTGGCAACTCACAAGCTTGTTTGATGCGAGGGTAAAGGGAACAAAGCAGGTGGCTAATGGGCTGTTTTTCTGTTTCAGTGGAGCATGACAGAGAGTTTCACCATCAGCGCTGCCACTACCGAGAGTTCAGGTTTGATCTCTCCAGAATCCCAGAGGGGGAAGCGGTGACGGCTGCCGAGTTCAGGATATATAAGGATTACATCCGTGAACGCTTCGATAACGAAACGTTCCAGATTAGTGTCTACCAGGTACTCCAGGAGCACCCGGGAAGGTGAGTGACCCACAGGGAAATCCCAAAGGAAGTGCAAGCACAGTATGTTTCTTCAGAGACTTATGTCCAATACTTTTAGAAATACTGGGGCTATCAGCAAAAGCATCTGAAGAGCTGGGTTTAGGCATCAAGGTGTACACTGAAATCTCAGTCAATGCTGATGCAGCGGGCACATAGCTGCCATGCATGGTCAGCCACCGAGGGCACGGGGAGAAGGTGCCCTACGAGCCTCCGCGTGCCCCAAGAGGCATCCCCCAAGGAGCATCCCCAGCGCGGTCGCTCTCGTCCCTGGGAGCACTTGGTAGCAGAGGAGCCAACAAGCCTGGCCGCGTGCTATTGCAGGAAAAGATCATAAACTCAAAGTATTTCAAGATTTCTGGAAGACCTGTCTTCTTCCTCCTGCCACTTATGGGTCCTGAGGTGGCAAAACCACATCCGAACGCTTCTTTTCTAATTGTAGCTTAATTACCAGTCTTTATTACCAAAGGCGTTCGAGATCCCTAATTACCAAAGACAGATGACACCATGCTTTTTATATTGACTGATTGTTTTGCATGTGCAAAACTACAAGATGAGCTATTAAATCCATTCCAAGCAATTATTAGTGTATGCCAAGCTCCCTGACAAATCCTCCAGGGAACTTGAGTAAGAACATATGTTCAATTTTTTCATCTGTTTTTAGTTCCAATTAATCAGCAATCCCAAACCATTTATCAAAGGCACTTAGTTTCATTTCCACATACTTCTTTTACCTACAAATCCTACCAAAAGTGCAATTGCATTTATTTACATGAAAAGTATTTACAGTCACATGCTAGTCAGAAGTTATTCTTTAGGACCACTAAATATAGGGTAATAATACTACAACACTAATTTAGGTTTATGAAAAGAGAAACACCAGGGATTTAAAAAGGGGAAAGTCCAAAAGGGTAAGAAAAAATAGTGTAATCAGGACTCTGGCTTTATATTTTTATAAGAGCTAATAAAAATGCAGGAAAAAAATTGAAATATGACAGGAAACCTTATCAATGGTGAGAATTTCTACTGGCTTTGTTGTATGGTAAAAGTATTTAAGCACTGGTGTGTTTTCTTTCACATCTGAGATTCTAATTTTACAGCTTAAAAATCATGGTTCTCTTGGCATTACTAATGACACAATTATTTGTGTCATTACACACAGCTAATATTAATCTATTTTAATCAAGCAATGGTAATTCAAACTATACATTTTAATGAGGCTTTCTTAAAGGAGAAGTCAACAAGCCACAAATGTGCATAGGACCCATTAGATGTCCTGCCTACCATAAGCATTTAAGTTTATTCCATCTTAGGCCCTTCCAGAGATAGAAGCCTCCCTTTGCTGTAATTCTTGAGTAGGTTGTTTAGGTGTAAACCTGCAGGGGTGACTTTTCACTCTTGGGAAGAGCAGAAACAAGAGATGTGTTGGCAGGTGAAGAGGCCCTAATCAGTGTGCCAGGGCATTAGGGAATTGCCAGAAACCTGTTCTTGGAGTAAATGTCCTTGCTCATCAGATGCCAGGGAAGTTCTCCTTCAGATCCTGATGAGTGAAATAGGTGCCCCCTAGAAATCTTACTGACAGAGTTAGGATGACATTTATTACCTTAATTTTACAATGATGCATCCACAGGTTTGTTAAAACTATGCTTAGAGAGGACTGCACGGTACCCACTGGGGATAGTTATGTGTGGAGCAGCAAGTGTTTCTACAAACTGTCTCCTTTCCAAATTCTTATTCCTAAACGAAAAAATGGATGCAAAGGGCAGGCATATACATGAAGCGCTGGCTGGAAGAGGTGAGGAAACTTGCTAATTATACAGATGTTCCAGCTACAAGATTAGATGCAATTTAACTGCATCATATTCACCACAGGAACACTGTATTTAATGAGTGTTCGTGCATATTCACCCTTTGCACACATTTTGGCACAGGCAACGGTGAGTTTTGAACAGTTTGTCCTGAAAAAATATTCCTGTTGGTTTGGATTGACCAAAGGTAAAAATATTGTCACTAACATTTGTAAAAATATTTGCTCTTTTTCTGCATTTTTCCACTGACATTTTCCAACCGGCTCTGTCACAGACCAGTCATCCAAGTCAGTGTGTCATTGGGCAAGTGGAGAAAGAAAACAAACTCTCTCCAATGTTGATCAAAAAACACCCATTCACTTTGATGCTTCCTTGGCTGTTTGTCTTATCCTGAGCAGGCTGGAAAGTCAGACCCATCTGACGTTGTTAGCAACAAGAGCAAAACAAAGCCAAACCTTCCCCCCGACGCAGGCAAGAAAACCTTTTGCTCATGTTTGGCTTTGTAGGTTCCTCTCTGTAGAGCACGGCAGGTACAATGGCCAACAAAAAAACAAATGGTTTTCCCTCTCCCCATGCTCTTATGATGATACAAGAGCAGTAGGATCTCCCAGGAGATTGCTGGATTTGCCGTTCAGGATCTGAAACACCAGGTATTCTCCGGGCCCATGTCCCCCGCCCCACTACATGCACCTCCTGGTTAAGTGCACCAAGGCACAGAAGCTCAGTGCCAGGCTCCCCAGAGGCAGCTGCAGCATCATCTCTCCTTCCGAACACAGAAAAGATCAGGACAGCTTCTAGGGCCACAAAACAAGCATGGGATGCAGCAGGAGGCTGACTGGAGATTTTTTCATTTGAGGGTGAAGAGACCATCAGATATGTTGAAGGCTTGATTTTTCAGTTAAACCTCAGTTGAGCCTCCAGTTTGGAGGGTGTGATGGAGTGTCCTCAGTTCAGATAAACCATAAGTACAAGCAGTTCAACAATTAAGGACTTGCTTTACGAGTTCAGACAGGTTGGCAGGTATCTAACCAGCAACATCTCTTGTCTGCAATTTATTGTCGGTGAAAAATACAGGCATAGGTCTCTCCAGACAAACAGCTGCACCCACAGCAGACTCTTTCTGAAATCCTGCCCCTCAATAGTACCAACGTATGAACAGAGAGTGGAAGCCGTCTTCCACCACCTGCTCAGTTGTGGGCAGATAGATGCCTAACAATCCTGGCAGTAAACCCAGCCCCATCCTTTGTAGCAGACAGGATGCCACTCTAGACTTTGACTAATAGAAATTATATCTGTCAGACTGAAGATATTATTACAGGTATTTATATGAAACCGGACTAAATGATCAAATATTCTTTCTGGCCTTTCCAAATGTATGAATTCATTGCAAGGCAAGCTTTTCAAACTGGCAACATCTCCTTTATAAAAAGGCATGTACAGCATTCTTTAGGCACAAAGCATCAGTTATTCGCTTTAAGGAAACAAGTACATTCATGAACAAAAATGTTCCTAATAAACACTGTGAAAACACTTGATGTTTTGACTGATATAACATGTCTCAAAGCTTTCATGTGCATAACTGAAAGTCCAGTGACTCATGTCCAACTTCTGTTTGGTCTTCATAATTTGGAAAAGAGTTTTATAAAACCAGCAACTGATGTCCTGAGCAGCAGGACATCAAGTCCCTGTTTGTGATCACAAACCCTGCTAGCAGGAACTAAAGGTTGCCATCAGGGAGTCGGGTGCTGCTCAAGCCTCCGTCTCCTCCCTCCTGGGTGCTGCAGGAAAGCAAAGCAGATCCCAGTGCTTGGAAGCACACATCACAGGGCACAAGGCTTGCTACAAGGTGTTGAAGGTCATTTATCTCAGGTACCCATGCAGGGAACATGTTAAAATAAAGCTTACGGATATGAGCCTGAGAAAAATGAACTTTGACACTTTTACAGTGGAATCATGAAATAGTTTGTGAACTACTTTGCAAAAGAAATATCCATTACCCTCAGACTCTCCACTATTTTTGTAAGAATTTCAAAAGGACGTAAGTGCTGAAGAAACACACAGGTATGTAGTGGGATTTCTAACAGCAGCTAAGCAGGTTGGATACCTAACTCCTATTACGATAGGAACTTGTGTATTTTCAAAAAGTACCCATGCAGTTCTGGGGCAGATTATCAGTCGAGGCATCATCCTCAATTTATTAACCTGAAGCTGCAGAAAAAATGCAGACCGTATAGCTCCCCTCAACATCAGAGCTCAATCCTGCTCATCCATCTGCACCTTCAGAAGCTAAAATACCTCATCCCAGAGTCCATCTCTGATTTCACTGCACCCAGCACTTGCACTGTGGAGTAAATCCCAACCCCTTTGAAGTCCATGGGAGCTTTGTTACTGGAGAGAATAAAGCCAGGTACTCGACCAGCCTTTGGTAATTGAAATGTAGTTGCTACATGTTCACTTCGTGACCATTATGGATTTCACAGGCTTCAAAGGCAGTGAATGATTTGAATGCTCATGTTACCAGCCCTACAGAAAAATAAGATCTTGCACGATGCATTCCTGGGTTTGACTTCCAGCTGGAACGCTTTAGTTTGTGCTTCAAACTACACTTCTGCACCCAGATCAAACCTGAGCCCCTCTCCAGACCCCTTTCTCCTGTTCACTGGAGTCTGTTTCCATGTTGCGGGTTGAAACGTGTAATTCTAGTAACTAACAAAGGCTTAGGCCCACCAACCCACAAAGCAGATGTGCCTTCTTTTGGGAGCTTTTTTAAGTACCAATGTGATTGCCCTAGGAATGGTGCAGCAAAGGAGCGTACAGTTTGTTTTAATGTTGTGCCCCAGCACCATGACGGTATTTGCAAGTACTAACAGCATCTAGAAAGTTACTGACAACAGCTTTGATTTTTTTTTTTTGGTGACTTACCTGCTAGTCAGTTGATAACTGTACTCATCTCCTAGCAAGTAGCAAGGGAACTTTGGCATGGAAACCCTGTAGCTCTCCAAGAACAGAGCTGCATCTAGTTATCTCTTTCAGACCATTCCTAAAAGCCACTGCAGCCTGCAAAACCTCTGACAAATCTTGAACTCACTCAGCAAGGCACAACTCTTCGCAAGCACTCGAGTAGCTGCAGGAGGCATTTTGCATACCCCAGTGGGCTTTTGCTCAGCTAAGTGA